ATTTTATTTAGAGCTTATTAATATTCTTTTTAAACTATATTCCTTATTATTAGTTCGGGGGGTATAAATTCCTATTTTAAATAAGGAATTAATATATTAGCGTCGTAAATTAATATACTAGCGTTATTCTTATACTAATATTACTATTTTACTTTTTAATTAGTTTAAAAAAATAGTACCTCTTTATAAAAATAATAAGGGTTATTATATTAATATAGCTATTCTTACTATCCTCTCTAACTTAAGCTCTAGTTTAAAATTTTTAAAAATAAGAATACTATTATAATTTACGTACTTATTTAGAATTACTATATTACTTATTTAAGATTTATAAATTTTAAATTAGTTAGTAATATAACCTTTTATAAATTTTAAATAAATAAGGCTTTTTTTTACTATATACTTAAAATATATAAAGAGTAAATTATATTAACGTCCGCTTAACTACTTTTTTTAATATAATTATAATAATTTATTATTATTATAAACTACTTTTTATTAGCTCCGTTTTTTTTAAATATTAAGCTATATTAATTATTTATTTATATAATTCCCTATTATCCTCCCCTTATTAAAAACGCTAAACTAGTTTTTTATTTATTATTTAAATAAGCTTAATATTTAGCTTTAACTTAGCTAACTTATTTTTTTTATAAGCTTAGCTAGCGTCGACTTATTTTTATTTTTAAATAAATAGCCTCGCTTTTTATTACTTATACTTTAGTTATTATAAGTAATACGGGCTTAATTAGTTAACCGGCCTTTTTTAAATAAGACTAGTTATAATAAAATAGGCTATATTATATTTTTTAACTTATTATAAAGGGATATAATAATTTTAAAGTTAAGGATTTAGTAATATAAATCTAAAGAAAACGTTTTTTAAAAATATTACTAAAAATATACCTTTTATTTATTAAAAATAATTAAATTTAATATTTTAAAATAGATTTTATAGTAATATAGGATACTTAGCTTAATTAAAATAATATAATTTAAATTATAAGATCCGAGGGGGTTTAAAAATAGCCTCTTATTAAATAATATTACTTTTTTTATAAGCTAGCTTTATATTTTAATTAAAATAAAATATTTTAAAAAAAGTATTATTTAAAGTTTATTTAGGTACTTAAAATAAGTACTTATATATTCTTAGTTTATAAGTACCTCGTTTTTTATATAAGCTTAGTAAAAACGTAGCTCTTAATTACTAATTATATTTTATATAACGTTAATAAGCTAATATAAATAACTAAAACTATTTAAAAATAACCCTTAATATTATTATTACTTAACTTAATATTAGAAATAATACGAGTATTAAAGTTCTAATATTTTTAAATAAAATAACGGGCGTATTATGTTCTTAAAAATAAGTATATTATACAAAAATATTAAAAAATTAAGTATTAGTTATTTAACTTTTTATAAAGCTTAGTCTAGGTTTTTTTAAAAATATACTTAGTTTTAATAAAAATAATAAGTTTTTATATTATAAGGACCCTATAATATATATAAAGGGGGAGCTTATTAATAAGCGTATTAATATAAGCCTTATTTTTATTATTTAGCGTAATTATTACTTATATTAATAGCTAATATCCCTTATTATTAAACTTATTATTATTATTATTATAACTACGGTCCTTAACTTATTTCTACTTAGCCCTAAGTATAATATTAAAGTTAATATAATAAATATAAAGTTATTACTAAATATCTAAGAACTACTTATTTAATATAGCTTTTATTTATTTATTATAATTTATAATAATAATAATAGGGTAATAAACTAAGTATTAATTTATAAATTAGCGAATACTTATTAAAAAAAACTAAAAACCCTCTAATTTCTCGTTATTAATAAGGCCGAACGTAGCGTTATAAATAGATTTAAAATAAGTTTACTTAGTAATTTAAAAAAAAAGGAGCTTAAAATAATTAATATTATAAATATTATTAAAGTTAATTATTTTAGGGAATCGCTTTTATATTTAGAAATAATAAAAAAAGGTTTAAATAAAATTAGTAAGGTAGTTTAGCTCGTTATTTACTTATTTTATTATATATAAGATATCTTATTTATTAAATAGCTTAATTAACGTTATAGTTAGTAAGTATTTAATTAGTTTTTTTTAGTTTATACGAGCCTTAGTATTATAAATATCTTATTAAGTAAATAAGGATTCTAAGAACTATTTTTAAATAATAATATATATATTACGAGCCTAAATCCTAACTCGTTAGTTTATAGTTTTAATAATATTTTTAACTATTTTAATAAGCTTATAAAATAAAAAGTATATAGAGGCTTTAAAACTAAGGTTATAATTATATTATTTATATTAAAAGTTTAAATAATAATATAATAGTTATTTATTCTTTTCTTAAGCCTTAGTAATAACTTACTATTTATAACCGTATTTATAAGACTTATATTATTAAATATTAGTACTTTATATAAGCTTAGGCTTATTAAACTAATTATATTAAAAAGTATATTAAATAATTTAGCCTCGAGTTTTATACTTATTCTATTTTATAATATTAAATTTATTAGTTTTTATAAAGTTATTAACTTAGTTAAAGAGGGTATTATAAGTTTATTTTAAATTATTAAAAATTAGTAAGTTTAGGATTTTAGTTATAAAAGGAGAGGAGGATTAGTTATTTAGAATATAATAAGAAACTATAATTTAAAAAAACGCTTTATTTTAAATAAAAAATAGCTATAGGGGTAAATAGGGTAATAAATTAACTTAGGGACCTTATATTTATTATTATTAATAAATATATTTTTATTATCGGAGTAGTACCGTTATTAGTTATTAATTAGTTTTAATAACCTATTTAATAAACTAAAAAGTATTATTAAACTACTTTATTATAAAATAAGAAGGTTATTAAAACTATTCGTTAGGGGGAGAGGGGTTATATTTTAAAAAAAGTTATAAGAGGGTAGTCCGCTAGGTTTTTATAATCTTTTTAAAAAAATAATAAGTAAAGTATAATATAGGTTTTATATTAAGGTAATTATTTATAAGAAGTTATATATTTTATAATATATTAATTAAGAGCTTAGTAATAAGGTCGTACTACTTTTTAAAATTATTAATTTTATAAAATTAGCTAACGCTAAGGTAGCTACTTTTTAAAAAAAGAGATAATAATAGTTAGCTAAATAATAATAAGAAGCTATAATTAATTAATAATCGTTTTTATAGAGGGAGAAGTTTTTTAATAAGGGTATTATTTTAAAATTAGCCTTAAGGAACGTTTTTAATTCTAATTATAAAAGCTATTATAAATAAATATTATAAGTTAGATTTTGAGGTTTAATAATATAACTTAAGTATAAAGGGAATAAAGGAATAAAAGCTTAGGATATTTTATAAGTATTTAGTAAAATCTAACTATACCAATAAATTTTTTTTAAACTAATTAAAAAGTAGAATAGCGATATTAATATAAGAGCGACGCTAGTATATTAATTTATAACGCCGGTATATTAATTCTTTTTAAATATTTAATAATTTATTATATACTAAACTTAGCGCTATTTTTAATAGTTTTTTAAAATACGTATTCGTAAAATATAGTATTAACTAATTTTATTAATTACTAAGTAAGGAGTTTAATATACGTATTAATAATATTATATTCTTAAGTTTTAAATTATTTATATTTAGTATTAAGCTTTTATTATTTTTAAATACTCTTAAGTATATAAATCCTTTTTATAAGTATAGTATAAAAATAGATTTATTTATATAAAATAAGTAGTATTACTAGCTTTATAAAAAGAAACCTAGCTTAGTCTTATAAGTTATTTATACTTAAAGAAGTTAAAGGGGTTATATTAAGAGTTAAGTTTAGAAGTTATTAATAGAGGATTTCCTAACTTCTTTAGTTATTTTTAAACGCTTTATAATATATTTAATAAGCTCGTAATTTTTTTTTATTACGGCTTATAACTAATTATCCGAATTTAAAAAGTAAAATAAGCGTTATAAAAGGGTTAAGGAGTATATTAGAATTTAGAGCGTCTAAGTTAATATATTTCTAAACCCTAATACCCTTATTTATAATATAAAATATATTAAACTATTTAATTTAACTATTATAACTAGTTAATTTAGCTTAGGCTAAAATAAGTACGAGTATATTAATTATTTTAAAAAAATTATAAAAATTATATTAATAAATACGTTATTATAATATAAAGTCTTAACTAAGAACTAGGTTTATAATTATTATAAGTTATAGTACGTAATAATAAGTATACGGAGTATAATAAAAGTAGTTTAATATATTAAATTAGAAATAAATAAAAAAAAAGGTCTATATATACGATATCTAAGATAGATACGTAATTTAGTACGTAACGGGCACTTCGTAAGATGCGGTTACTATCCCTGTTACGTAATACATTCTGCGATTCCCTCAAAGGCCGCACCGTTCTACGATCTTTGATAGGAACACTCAATGAGCACCTCTTTTTAGTAAGATACAGCTTCAAAGGGGTGTCGACTGCATCTCTCGAATCCTTAATACCTTTGTTTATAAAAACCGGAATAACCTTCTATTGGGTACGCCTTCCCACTGTCAGAACAAGCTTGTTGGCTTTCGAAAGCGTATTCGGTGAGCTGCCTGCCAGAGAAATTAGCCTCGCTAATCCCTCGTACACCGATCCCCCTCTTCTTCAAATCCCTGGACTTGTTGAGTCTGAGTATCAACCATTCAGTCCTGGTGATACGAGACACTCTATTCTGGTCACATTCCCTTACGGAAACAATGGATATCCTCTTCTTACGACTTATCCAGCTGTTCAACTGCCTTACCAACACCCTGGAACGATTCCACTCCAATCAGATGACGGGCAACAGATCCATCATGGTATCCTTGTACTGAAGCGTAGGTGTATATCACCTTCAGAATTCATTGCGATTTTCTTCGCGTTCTACCAAAAGGAAGAACATAGATTCGGTAGGGTAGAAAAGCTAACGGTTCGCGTCTTGCGGGGTGTTGACGACGTCTCTGCTGTAAACTTGGCTCATGTTTCGCAGTACCAAGCACAGGCATTGCAGAATTTGCCTAACGATCCTGTGAATGAGGAGTCGGATCTTGTGCAGTGGCGCAGTTATGATGAACAAGGAGGAACCGCTTGTCAGGTTGATTACTCTCAAAACTGGTACAAGCGGTCTCGATACACCAACCTTGTTGCCCAGGTGGTTCTCAATGTAAAGGCAAAAGACCTGTTTCAGTTTTCGTAATGTATTGCTCACGAAAATAAGAGATGTCTCACTCAGAATCGCCGAACCGTTTGTTGCTTACCATAGTCTTGCTACCAAATCCAGTTGATCTGTAATGGAGTCAGTCTTAGTAACTACTCCAGCCACTTCCCACGGATATCCAGATCTTCCCATTTCCTCTCTTAGTTCAGACGTAGTCCAACGGGAAATGACAAATGATTCATCGAAGTCCAATTTCTTCTGACCCTTGACCCACGATCGTAGCATATCGTCGCTCCCAGCCTCGCTTTCCAGCGCCTGATAATCACAAAACATGTCTTCCTTTTGTAAACTGAGCGTGGGGTCTGCAACTAGCAAAAGTTCATGCAAAGTCAAAGTCCGGAACATCACAGCTTCTCTCCAATAGTTAACGGGGAAATGAGCGGGACTACAGCGGAACACAATGACGGCGTTCTCTTGCTTTTCGTGTTGAAGGATAATCCTCAAGGTATCGAGGTGAGACTTTGGGTCGACTGCAGTCCCCATTTTCACAGCTTTGGATAAATCGAAAACAAATATTATCCAAAGCGAGGCGTCTCTAACCATGTGAAAAGTAGGCTGTTCCATCAGCACCATTCTCTCTTTCATGGAGAACCCCTCAGAAAGCAACAAGTCAAGAGTCTTGATCCTCATCTGGTGCCGATCAAGTATCTCACCTTTGTTCTTTTCTCGGGACGTCAACTTCCATAAAACCGGAAACAAGACGTTGTTTGGTGTTTGCAGCAAACATGGGGGCTGTTTAGATGTTGCAGCCTGGGAGTTGACACCCAACGAGACTTTGTAGACTTCACTCGTGCGTCTAGGCTCGTCGGCCAACCTATATCTTAAGAATTTGAATTGACCATGGTATGCTGCAATCCCTAGGAAGGGATGCGAAAGGGCGGCCTGTACCGCCATACCGTCATCCACAAGATTCGAAAAGTTCGAACGCTGAGATCCAGTGACGTAACGTAATTCCGTTGCATGCGCGAAGTGATTAACCCAAATGTTCTCAAATGCCACAAGTGTCTTGATTTCAAGGCCTGAAGGTATCGTAAAGATGTCCAACAATTGGTTTCGTATTTTGGTTTGCTCATGTTTGCTCATGAGGTGGCTTATTCGAGTAACTTCAGCCATCCGCAGCAGGGCATGGGTGTTAGGAAAGTCCGAGCATGGGGAGCTCTTGTTCAGTTCGATTGCTTGTTCAGAAGAGAGAATGTAGTCTTTCACTGTCTTGTGGAAAAACCCTATCCCCTTTAACAAGCGTTCCATGGGGTTGTCGCGAGATGGCGAAGGGACTGTGACAAGAATTCCTCTGGTCAGGCCTTGTAACTGCCTACCTACTCTTTCCTGGTCTCTGAGAAGCGTTTCTGTAGTGTAGCGCGTTCGTTGATTGAGAAGTTGAAGGTCGACATCCCCAGAGGCGTTGATATAATCAAACACGGAGGTGTGCAAGGGGCTCTTGAAGGGGTTTGTAGCGACTAGTATGAGTAGTGACCGGATTTTTGTTCTGTCATCTCGGGGCATGGACGAAAGCATGGACTTGTATAGGTTATTAAGCTGAGTCGGCGTGCTATCGAGCTTCTGGCACAGTCGTTCGTAGCTGCTGTGCATCTCGGCTTCCTCTAGAAGTGCTCTCGCAACTAAGCGAGCCCAGAGGAATACACCATCAGCTGACCAGACAATCTTTTCCACAAACTCAAGGTAGAAAGATGAAATGTGATAAAAGTTGCTATCATGCTCGAAGGTGTCTCGAGTTAAAAGATATATGTCGCCTTGAGTGATCTCATGAAGATGAATTGCTGAGCGGAATGTGTTCAGGAAATGCACCTCTGGCCTGGAGCTGACGCATATCTTGATCAAGCTTCCCTCTGCCCAGTCTCGAAGCTTCATAGCAAAGAGTTTCTGGTCGTAGGCATCAGCCTTATATTCGTCAAGGCCATCGATGAACAAGCAAAACCTCACGTCATCGGACGGCAGTTCGAGGTTCATCAGCCGTTCAAAGGCTGCTTTGATACTGGGCGCTTGATACAAGTCTGAGTCAACAACTGCGTTTCTCTTCTCGGAATCCGTAGCTTCCCACTGCTTGGGGAGTACGTCTGGTATGAGGCGAGGGCAGTGTCTGAGGATGAAGAACAAAATAGATCGATACATCCCATCGAGGGTCATTTGAAGTTTCTGACCGTCCGATTGCCAGAAGAAGAACGAAGCAATCGCAACGGTTCTATCACCGGCCCATTGCTGTAAAAGCGTTCTTGTCTTCTGATGGTTGGCCATGAACTTCAGGAGAGTTGGCTTCCCACAGCCTGCCTTGCCGGAGACGTAGAATAACCTGCCGTCGCCCCGGAGCCAATTGAGAAACTTTTGGCTGGCTCTTTCCCTTTGCTCTGCTTGACGCGATAAGAATTTTTCATCCGGCTTTAAATGGTCCAAGGTCTGTGTGGGAAAGAATATCCACTCAAAAGTCCCCTCACTTGGGTCAAGTATGGAGTCAATCCTGTTGTATATCCCTTCGAAATACAAGTGATGAAGAATGCATGCCTCCCTGGGAGTGGATCGAATCAGTGAGCTCAGATGATCAATCTTAACGGATATTTTACTGAGGGAGTCGAATAGATGTTCTCGGATATTGCTTGGGCTTTCTTCATGTTCACTGCTGTCATCCGAAGTCGCAGTGGTGCTGCCTTCGCTCCCATCATCGTCGTCATCATCTGGCTTTGCCAATAGCTTGATAAACTCGGCCCGAAGAAGTTTGAGCTCCTCGGCAGAACTCAAAGACATGTTTTGAGCTTCAGTTTGTATGTCGTCCAACTGCTTCTTGACGGACGATTGGTGTTCACTGTTCCCGTACATGTTAATACTGTTTGGATGAGCCATGACCCAAGTCAAACACAGACTTACTTCAGTAATGCAAGAAGCCTCGTATTGATTTCCATGCGATACTCAGCAAGTCGGCCTTCGATATGAGCAACCTCCTTTCTCTGGCGCATACCAGCCCATGTTACCCTCAAAGCAGCCCAGCGCGAGTTTCTCCTCGCCTTGAGCGTGTCAAGAATGGCTATGAGCTCTTGGCACACATCGTAACATCCTGTCGAGAGAGCCTTCAGGGCTTGCTCATGCCTTGAGCTACCCAACTGCTCTGATTGAAGCTCAAAGGAGTAGTTTCTGAGGTCTTCGATAATCTCCCTTATCCGGGCGTTTTCTCTACTTACTTGTCGTCTAGAATCATACAGTTCGTTGGCGCCAGTGGTGAGTTTCCATGAGAAGTCAAGAAAGGCTACTATGCCGGCTGCAATGCCTATGGCTACTTCGGCCCCCATTGTGATCAGGCGGTCCGATAAGTCCTATCTAGAAAACGAAGTCAAACAGACGGAACACTCTTGGGAAATAGAGAGCTTGATATTTGATTCAAAGACACGTCAGAAGCGGGGTAACAGTATTTGCAGGGTCAAGGTGAAGTCTTATTGGCTGCCTGATTGCATCTTCCTGCCAATTGTTGGATGGTCAGCCTGCATTTCGATGTGCAGTTTTGTGGACTGCTACGCCTTGCACGAGTTCTTAATATCGCGCGTGACCCGAGTCATCTTATCCCCGCCAACCACTCAAGAGAGTGTTTTTTGCGGCATTTTCAGACCTCCTGTGCCTGATGTAAAGTAACATCACAGATTACAGGGCAAAGGGGCCTTGGGGCTTAGGGCCAAAAGGCTTAATCGCCCAAGCTCAAACGTCCTCCTCTGCAAACACCTTAGTGCCTCCAACTCAGACTAAAATATCCACATCTTCCTCGCTACTTGTTGGTCCCAAATCTCGAGTCCGTCGCTATCAACGAGGTTGTTTTTCTTCCACAAATATACTACACCCTTTGCGATTTCAAGCTGAGAATGGTGACGATTGAATATAAATCCTCGCCCTCGGCCAAAGTCAAGGAGCCTAAGTATCGACTTAACTACACCGTTTCAGGTGTCTAGTAGCCTTATGTCAATGCTGGACTTTTGTCTACAAGCTCGATACGTCACTCCGATCTACGGCTCTTACTACCTATGTGCTTCGCGAAGTTGTGATAAGCCACCGATAATCAACTAAATTTCGCATGGCACAATCAAAGTTACGAGTTGTCTTAACTCGGAAGGAGAAGCTACTGAATTCTCACGATGCCTGTTCCTTCTTCTATCGAGACTTCATCTTCTGACAAATACGCCACACCCACCCTCTCAAACACCTTGTCTTCCTCCTTGTCCATAACGGGGGCAACCATAAGAGCATAGTGTCTTACTGGGTCGCTCTTGTTCTGCTTGCTCGTACCAACAATAACACACATCAGGGGCCGGCGAAGGATTCTCTCGGGGTCATCCATTATCAGCCGCGCTGGGTTATCGCTCATCAACGTACGAGCTGTAGCCTGAAAATATGCTTTCTTCGAGAGATCACTTGTTTCTTCTGCGCCCCTGCCCGTCTGAGTTTCAAACGGTGAAGAGATATCCTTAGCTCTCTCGATGTCGCCGAAAGGAACATTCATGTATCGGATTTCTCCCTCGAAAGCCATCCATGACCAGGAAGGGATTTCTTCATGAGGTTGAAATCCGATGCGTCGCAGTGAAGTCCCAATATTTCGGCGCTGCCAGAGAAGATCTCTGTGGAGGTTTGACAAGAAGATGCCATAGCCACCGGTCGACTTCAGTGCCATCGTCAATCTCTTTTCGAGGCCAGCGATAGCTCTAGGCTTGTCGGTAGGATACGTCAATTTCAAGGAAGAGTAACGCTCGTAAAGGTCGTGATAGTGCTGCAGCTGTCTCCCTTGCTTGAAGGATTCAACGGAGTGAGGAAAGTTTGAGTCTCCAAGGAACGCTGCTTTTCGACTAGTATAAAAGTTAATCAAGGTATAGAACGAAGCGTCGTACGGTGAAATCAATACTTACTTCGTCGTCTTGGTGAATGTTTCGCATCTTATGCCTTCTCCGCACTCCCAGTACGTCTGGCTACTCGTGAAATGCAATGTTCTTCGTGAAAGAGCGCGCTCCTGTAACACCCAGCCTCTCTGGTTCAACTCTCCTTTCTCTACGTCGATCTCAAAGTTGTCAATAATTTCGCAAATATAGAACTGCACATCGTCATCTAATCTCATAGTGACAAGCTGCCGCGGCGTTCGCGCTTTCAAAAAGCCCTGGAATCTGTTTTCTGCACAACTGGCGGCAATGGTAATGTAGGCAGAACCAAACACCTCTTCCATGAGTTTTGACTCTCTATCCCAGTCATTCTTCGAGTCCATGTTGCCATGGTTCATGTTGTCCTGAAGGATGCATAGAGAGTCTATCCACAAGTACTTCACTTTCAATCTCCTAGTGATAACCACTGCGTCGAGAAATGTCTTGGGCAGGTAGTCGTCATCGATCCCTAGCGCGCTAGCGATTACGTGGATGTTATCCGTGGTTGTTGTGACAAACTTGCCTTCTGTTGAGGAATCGTTCCCCCATCGGTGAGACAGCGCAATGTAGTTCACGGAGCCCGACTTTGATTCAGGCTTGGAAATCAGTCGGACAAACCTCGTATCTTCGTCACCAACCAGCAGCAGCCTACTCGGAATGAAGCTCTTGCGATTCGGTAGATGCTGAGCCTCGTTGCAACCCTTCACCCATCTATTGAGAATGTTTAGATGTGTCGCGTCTCCCGGGACGAGAGGGGCGGGGAATCCTAGCTGGATACCGTTGGAGCTCAAAGTCCCCGAGTCTTTGAGTTGATGTGAGCGTTGGCATCAACCTTCTTTGGTGGATTGGTAATTACCACTTGTTCGACAGAGTGTCAAGATTGGGGCCCAGTCTCTGTCTCCAAACGTCAAATAGGAGTCCTTTCGCATAAATCTAATCAGTTCATCACTGGGACCCGCTCGTCCAATCAGGGAATGATGTAAGAGGCGACATAGTTCACACGACATCAATCGACGTTCCAAGTCTTTGAGTGTATCAGAAAACTCGCAAACCTTGGACCAAATTGGAAGCTCTTTGCATCTTTGGCATAGCTGTGAGTCTTTGTAGGTCATGTGCTTCTCCACGCTATTTGGAACGATGGATTGGGCCATGTCATGATCTGTGTCGTAGATCCAAATATCGTCAAGCTAATCGCATGTCAGGAGTTTGTGTGATATCGTACTCAACATATCACATACCGGCTGAACGATGTCACATCAGCATCATTGGCCTTACAGCATGCTGCCAGCGTAGCATGAAATACGGCGTCATATCTGTAGCAGGGACACAGGGGATAGACCTACGGTCTATAGCGAAAATTAACGCGGAAGTCAGCCGAAGAATCAGAAGATAGACTCAGTAGCTATTTCATCTTGCTTACAAACTGAATTTACGGAGAGCGTAGCTTGTTATTAGCAGTATCCAATAAAGAGAATGCATAAAACAATACCATCTATTCCAACCTTAGGTCAGCTGCCAATTCGATGGTCTGAACTTTGGCTGAAGTGTTTCACTCACATACTATGGCAATGTTAGAGACCAGTATTCAGGAATTCGGCAGAAAAGTCGTGAAGTCTCAGGACCGAGGGGGGGGGGGGGGGGTGTTCACTTACTCTCTGCATCGTGCCCAAGCGTTAGCTACTTCCTTCTGTCAACTACGAGATTACGCTTCTGACTACCTACGTCGCTTGTCTGAGAGCAGTCAATAAGCGGCTATTGGCACCTCCTCTCCAAGGTCTCACTTACTCCCTGCATCAACCTGTTTGAGTCTCTTACTTGAAGAGCTCCTCTGGTGTCACCAGGATTTAGACTCGCCTTGGGGATAGGCGGTCCACGCTTCGCAGCTTCTGCTGTGCCACGGTGATTGATCCACGGAAGTGAAGCCTTCTTCGTTGCAGCGTGAACGATGTTCTCCATCTCCTGAAGCACTTCTGGTGCCCTTGCCCGCTCGGCTTCTCCTGGTCTCCACGTTGGCTGTTTGACAATTACCCTGAAAGTATCGTCGCTGCTCGTTGAGAAGCTGTGTCTTGCTTCCAATCTTGACCCACTGGCTTGAGTGAACGAATCTGTGCGGGTCTCAGCCTTGACAACCAACATTCGGTTCTCGATCAGGTTGACCAGACGTCCTATGGCGGTCTCTCTATTTGGAACACACCGAGGATCCTCTTCTATAGCCTTGATCCATTTCTTGACCGAGTCCTTTAGCCCAACTTCTGGTTCTTTTCTATAGTAGGGCTGACCGGATCCAATGTCCCGACGGAAATAATCGAGGGTGGCATTACCATACAGCATCCAGATGAGAAATTCCAGATAGAGGCATCCGAGAGACCAAATATCATATCGCCTCGATCTAGCTTCATGGGGTCTCAACTCGGCTTCTGGGGGCGAATACATTCTGGTACCCTGCGGTGTGCTCGTCGCCTCGTGGCGAAGTTCCGTGGCCTTTTCGTGTACCTTTGCGTGCCCAGCATCGGCAACGACGAGATGCACGCCGATTGGAATCAACTGCTTGCCGATCTCGGTCCCGCTGAAACATAAGATATTTTCTGGCTTCAGGTCACCATGCCTACACGATTGTTGAGGGTCCTTTTTGGGATGGTGCAGGTCTTCTATAGCACTGGAAAGACCCAGGAGTTGCTTGAAAAACCACTTGTAGTAGCCAGACCAATCTTGAGTTGCAACATGTTCTGCTTCGAGACTCAGATTGGGCTGGTTGGTCCAGAAATCGCGAAGATTACCACCTCGGGCCCAGGGAAATACAAAGTAATGCCGATTTCCTTGGGTATAGGTGGCAATTGCTCTGATGAAGTGCGGGTGGTCCTGGTCTTTCAGACGCGTCAGGATGGTTGCTTCGTTCTCGGCTACTTCATGGAACTTCTCCCGCGTAAGCCCCTGTGCTGACAACAGCTCTTTCACGGCAATGTGAGGGTTTTTTTCGTCATCAACTATTGTGCCCTTTTTTAACCTTCATTAGCCTGAGTCTTCTTGAAAGTATTCCGTTATCTCACAATCTGGTCATCAAGTCTGAAGTTGAGATGCTTGCGGTGGATAACAAAATGCCTGACGACGCTGAAGTTTGTTTGGTTCGAACCAAGTTCTTCCAAGTATGGCATTTGGCATGAAGTGTCGAAGACATGAGCTGAGTCTTGCGGGCCGAACACAGGCACGAAGAAGTACCACTGATAGGTCCTACAAAGTTGTTTCATGGTGTCCTCGTCTTGGTCATCGTCGTCGTCGCTGATATCTCCGTCGGGGGGCGCCCACACACTGATGGTTTTGTTTGATCTACAAGATTGAATTGACCATCTTAGGCGAGATCTGTTGCTTGAATTCCGTGGCTTGATGAATTTGATGGGAAAGTACTCGTCGCCGAATCGTTCATTGTAGAATAGTTGCAACAAAGGCAGGCATTTTCGATAGATCAGCAGAGAAACAAGTCTCTTCGCATGCTCAAACACGAAACGCTTCATGCTCTCGTGCATTACAACTTTCTCTTCGAGAGCCTTAACAACCTTCTTGTCGTCCCGGATGATTCGGTTTATGGACGAAAGTGGAATCCAGGTATAGGTCTTTGCGTCCCTGGTGTTGAACAGTTCGATTTCCTCTGCACGAAAGGCCTTCCTGAGATCCTTGAGTGTCGCCATGTTCTCATTGTTCTCTCGGCCCCAGTTAATGAATGGGATCGAGTTCAGGAGCTGACTAGACTGGATAGAACCACTGATCTTCCCAGAAAATGTTTGGCGTCTTGGTGGCCCTAACTTTTGGGTTGGGCGATTGTTCGGGACGGATCCGGTCGTTCGGGCACGACGTAGGGGGATGACTGGGGCAAGGCCGTCTTCTTCAATTAAGCTTGATGGTAAACGAGGAAGCTCCCCAGGAGAGGCCTCCTGGGAAACTCCGCAGATTAAGTTGGCCAAAGATTGCCGGAAGCTCATGTTGCCACGTGCATGTAAACGTGTCTGCCCGAAAGGCGCTCTCGAATCGTCTGAATGGACAGCCTTACCTTTCCCCGACCTGGGAAGGATGGGTTTAAGTCAATTGATCCAACGAGTGCATAGCGTTCTCGAATGCTGCTGCTGTCACTGCCATGGCAGCGGATGCGTGTCAGCAGCCGAGAGTAACTAAGAATGCAAGCACTCTATGTGATTTTGCCTATCATTGGTGGCATGGCCCGCCGGAGTTAAAGATAATGTGGCGCAAGTTGCTGAACTGTTGGTTGTTGCATCATGCATGCTGGTTGCAACCACTACGTGGGTTCGGTCAACCATCGCCAACACGGTGCACTTTACCCGTCTCCCGTATCTCTTTTCCCCGGGACTTGCACATTTACGGCACTGCGATTAGGTCACATGGCTAACATGGCTCACACCTCCAGGCATCACTGGTTTGGACGCCTCGTTCTGACCACCCGGACGCCTTCTTCTCTAGGTAGGTACCTAATGCCGTGACGGACCCGGGACTGTCGTGATGTGAAGTGGGTGATAACGAGGTATTTTCGAAGTCCCATCCATAAGGCAGGCTCTGCTACTCTTGGACGCAACGAATAATCAGGCTGCGGCTGGTTTGGAGCGCAGCTCACATGGCAATGGGCGCAATCACCCCGCAAATAAAGGGGTCTTTCCGGCCCCCCGACTCGTGTGGTCAAATTTGACTCTTGAAAATGCGAAAATCATCCCGCCTGTTCATCCACTCTCGAAAGCCTCAGGTATCTCGCTGCGTTATGTCCTCGCTCTTTTGATCCATTTTTCTCATCTCGTCGTTCAATGTCAATCCAGGACGTTCGTCGTAATCTTCAAAGTCTTCGGTGAGTAATGCATTGTGTCCCGTAATCCAATTGACGTCACATGTACTCATCAGCATCTATAAGATTCAAGGCTCGGTTCCAACACCATCCAAGAGCCACGAAGGCTCTTTGAATCCACGACTAGTCGCTCAATGGCGGGGGTAACACTATCTCGACAGCTTACCAAGGCCCATAGGGTGGATGATTTGAATGGCAGCCGGTTTAAATTCCTTCCCCTAGATACACTGAACAGACTTATTACCGAGGAGAACGTGAGATCAGAATTGGCAAGAAAACCGCCAAGGAGGCCACGTATCTCGCTTACTTCCGCCTCCGAGCAGGCTCGGACATTGGCATCGAGAGTTGTGACTAAGAAAGGGAGAAAGCTGTTCGTGATATTAGTTCACCTCAAAAAGCCATGGGATGTCAGAAAATTAATGGATGCGGGCCTCAACGATGATTTCCTACCACTTTTTAGGAATGGACAAGGCAGAAATGAAGACCAGCTACAGTCAGCTCGTGACGCCAGAATCATCTTCAACCCCCCTGACGATTGGGAAGATCAAGACGTGGATGACTTTATCGATAAGCAATGGCTGGTATTAGCTCCCGTTTTTGGGACTTCGGGAGCTCACAGGATACTTGATGCTTCATGTCCCCTACCACTCGTCAAAGTTGACGGAACCATTCATGGCCCCGGGAGCGTGGTGTATAAGACCGATGTTCATCCATCCCAACAACAAGGCATCATGGTAAGCACTACATACCAGTCACTGAATTGACTCTTGAACCACGCTAATACAGAGTTTACAGCTCGAATATCAGAACGCCGAGGTTGCTTTGAAAGAATTCAAACGCGATAAAGACTTTCAACAGGAAAGAGACAATCTGAAGAGGATCCGCAAACTCCGAAACAAGCACATCACTATCCATTTCGAAACCTTTAGTCAAGGCGACAGAAGCTACATTTTGTTTCCTTGGGCAGGAGGCGGCGACCTAGAGAACTTCTGGAAAAGCAGAGACAACGAAGCCCGAACGCACCAACTAGCTCTCTGGAGTTTGGAACAGATGCTCGGTCTATCTGAGGCCCTATATGCTCTCCATGAGGAGATGGGACAAGACGCAAATTGCCGCCACGGCGATCTCAAACCCCAAAATATTCTCCATTTCCTCACAGGGGCAAGCGGAGGTATTCTCAAGATCTCTGATTTTGGCATCTCTCGTGTTCACCAGGTTGGAACCTTTGAGAGGGACATGCAGCCTACCATCACGCGAGCGACATCGCCGTCTTACGAGGCGCCCGAAGCCGTCGTGGGAGAGAACCGTGCCAGGTCCCGCAAGTACGACATCTGGTCTCTCGGCTGCATCTTCTTGGAATTCGCAATCTGGCTTGTTCAAGATTGGGACGCCATAAACAGATCCTGCGATGCCAGAACACCGAAAGGACCTCAGCCAGCTGGGGGTTGGGCGCACTTTTACCGCATCGAAGGTCCTAACGTTATGGTTCATCCCGAAGTCCCTCGCGCCATACATCGTCTCAAAAGCTTGGCGCCGTCTGCCCCAGGTACAGCATTGGGAGATCTGTTGGACATCATTCAGGCCAATCTGGTGAGAGTTGACATCAGGGAACGGCTTGACGCGAAAAGTCTTTGCGAGAAACTCAAGCAGATAATCAGCAGAGCTCGTGCTAATCCCGCATACCTGTTCGGTTCTGGTTAGGAAACTTGTAAGATTGGTGACTTGAACGTGTATACGAAGTGTAGTGAGCAGTATTTCAATAGTCGAGAGTTCTTAGGGTGTGACAAGGTTACGAGACCAAGATGGTGTTTAATTTTTTTTTTCCAAGGGCTTCCAATGTTTCTGGTTCTTGAGTTGAACTTTGAAGTTACCTCAGAGTACTTTTTCTACGACTGATTCTTGATGGTCTTGTCTTATCTTTCTTTACTTTCCGGATAGGTATAGCGGATATCTTGAAGTTTTCTGTTCTTACAGCCTCACTGGATTTGCTCTCTATCAAGCAGCTTCTGGATCTACTTTCTTTGTGTCAAGAGCCCATCTCTTCCTTGCTTCATTCATGTTTATTGAAGCAATATATTGATAACACAAACCAATTTCAGCTTTTTCCACAACCTCGTTCCGTTCCTATCGCCTGTAAATGTCCGTTCATCCCATGTGATGTTGTTCTTCCGTATGGCTCCATAACGACTTGGTATAGCTAACACTCCACCGGTACGATAATTATGCAGTGCACTCAGACGCACTATTTGCTGGCTTGCCATACAGGTGGCTCGAACTTAGTCATGATCACCAGGAGTCAGTACGACAATGGTGCAGTCTTCTTGTTTCCATAGTTGTGGAGTGATTATCATTTTCCCTAACTAATATGTCGAAGAGATAGGAGATACTCAACTCTTCTTGCTTAAATCTAAGTCGTCTGTGTTTTGAAGTAAGATCTAACTTCAGACGACTTAGGCGTTGTGGTCGAGTGAGAGTTTGAGAAAAAATGCTTCTCTTGCCAACTGTGAACTGTTTGGGAAGCATTTTGATCCCGCTTAGCTAAACCGGGGATTGGGACGATGAATAGAGGCATCCTTGCGATTTGTGTCGTCGTTAGAGAAAGAGCGCAGCGCGTATTTAGAGCATAATGTGGGTTTTGTGCACGGATCAAGGATACGCTGTGATTTACCGGTAACGCGGCCGTTTAGCTTTGGTAGCACTGGCAGCGTAGCCCACCTCTGAGCGTCAGATTAGCCATAGGCGACCGAAGATCATGAATCGTGAAACCTAGTGTTTGCGATTTCCATAAGAGGTTCTTGTTAAGGTCAAATAGGCGTTACGCGTCTGCGTCTGCTTATGTTCATGCTGGGCGGGTTTGACTGCTAGGGCTGAAACTGATGTTCGGGGTTGTAGTGGGTGTTACTGGGTGATAAGGTGCTGGGCGGTGCGAGGTGGTACTGGATGGCATTCTCGTGGTTTATCAGATGGGGCGTGCAAGGTGTCATCTGATAATTCTCTGTCAAAACTCTGTCGGGAAGTGGAGTTAACATTCATGGGTTAAGGAGAGTTTTAGTTTTTTGGGAGGGGAAATTGGCAGGGCGATTTGGATGGTACTATCGTGGCTCGATGAAGGAATGGATGGCGGTGTTACGATAGGCCATTCTTGGTCTGGACTCTTGGCCGGGTTAATTATGAGCTGGATGAGACGTGTGTGAGTGTGGTGAATTTAAAGTGAGTTTGCTTAGTGCCTGACGTGACGCGTCCGCCATGCTTAGCTGTAGCTGATACTAGCTCGTACCTACACCACGGACTCATAGAGTACAGATCTGTCTTGATAGGAGGGGCGTATAGCCATGGGTATTGAATTTATTGACGATTGATCGACTCGTTAATCGAGAGGAGTAGTCCCGAAACGAGGAGCAAAAGGGGTGATTTGAATGTTGGATCGCCGCAGGCAAGTGGGCCGGGTATCATCTGGGAGGCCCCTTTTGCAATTAATTTCTGCATACTACTGTACATACTGGTAGTAAATATCCGTACCCGTATGGAGTATCTGGATAAACAGAAAAGACAAAAGAGGAAAAAAGTCGCCAATGACAGGACTTGGCACTGCGTGGGAGGTGAGCTCAGGTGAAGAGTCGCCTTCACCTTCCTCACCGGGATGTTGCGTAAAAAAGGGCAGGAGCGCAGGCCGCAGGCTGCAGACCGCAGACCGCAGACCGGCCACGGGTCCGCCTTCCTCTCCCCCGGGGAGGTTCCCCTGACCCTTGATCCTTTACCTTAATTTTCCCCCCTCTATGTACTCCGTACCTTTTCACCCTTTCACCCTTTCACCCTTCCCTTCCACACCTTGTTCCTTGGTTAAATTTCCCCTCCACACCACACACACACCCACCACCCACGTCCACCACGTCCACCACCGTCAGTCCACACCTTTTCACTGCCACCACTGCCACCACCAATGGCAACACCCAAAAAGATGATGGAATCTGCCGGCATCACCTTTTAAGTGGATTACAAATCGATTGTTGGCTGCAGCCCAGCGACACACACAGCTCACTCAGCAATTCACCACTCATTTTCACCCACTCACTCAGTCACGCTGGATGAAGTCTGAACTCACTGCCCATCGGTCACTTGCGCATCCGACCTCCGACCTCTGGTGCTTCTTTTTTCCCGTTTCTGTATCACTATTCGTAATCCGTACGAAATACACGCACGCGCAGTTGACTGACTGGACGGGGCCAGCGACCGACACCAAGGCCGCTCGCGAGCTCACCATCTTTGAATGAGATCGCCCATCTGATACCCCCCGTCAATTCATCCCTTTCAGCCTTTCAGCATTTCAAATCATCGCTTGTTGCATGCGCGAAAGCATCAACCACCGTAGCCCATCATGTTTTCACGCAACAAGGACCTCTCCCACATGTCCTCCTTCTCCAACATCCGCTCGCGCTTTAAAAACAGCATGTCGTCCTCGGCCAAGATCCGCAGTTCCGAGGGCTGCTGGACCTGTCGCCTGCGCCGCAAAAAGTGCGACGAGGCTCGGCCCGTCTGCGAGGGGTGCGCCCAGCTCGAGATCAACTGCTTCTACAGCGAGACGAAGCCCGACTGGATGGACGGTGGCGAACGACAAAAGGAAATGGCCGACCAGCTCAAGAAGCAGGTCAAGATTCAGGCCAACAACCGTCGCGAGCGAAAGTACCTGCAGGGCCTCGACGTCGAGGGAGGCGGAGTTAGCGGCGGAGGAGGAGGAGGCGGGCGCGGATCCGAGGATGGCGATCATGTCCCTCCCGTCCCGGCCCTGAGTGCCGACGACGGCTCATCAAAGGCCAACGACTCCAACAGCCCGTCCACCGTGAACGACACCCCCGGCGACTCATCCTCTAGTCCGCCCTTTCAGATGAACTCGGTGAAATCGTCCATTCATGAAATCGTACCCGGCGCATCACCAAATCAGATGCGGCAGCACACACCGGAATGGATCAACCACTCCAGCCCAGTTTCTGCGGCACATCACCAACACCAGCAACAACAACAATATCAGCAACATCAACATCAGCAACAACACCAAAAACCCCAGCCCGACTTCGCCACCGGCACCGGGATGGGCACCTCCTCCTCCACCTCTGTCCAACAAAACTCATCTCCGCCCTTCGCCGATGACTCCAACCTGGGCTTCATCATGATCTACCTCGACTACGTCTTCCCCTTCCTCTTCCCCTTTTACAAGCCGGCCCTGCTCGAAGGCGGCCGCGGCTGGCTTCTCAACGTCCTCAACCACAACAAGGCTCTCTACCATACCGCTCTTAGCCTCTCCTCCCACTTCTTCGGCGTCGTCCTCGACAGCGCCCAAGTCGAGCACGCTCCTTGCCGCATGAAGTCCGTCAACAGCCTCCGCCACCAGATGCATCTCGCCCTCCGCGAGCTCCGAGCCGACATGACCCGCATCAACGAGCCCGGCCCCAACGGCGTGCCCCGCGACCCCCTGGATCAACTCCAGCAAAGCTGCCGCGTTCTCGAGAGCATCGTCCAGCTCCTCATCTTTGACGTGACCCTCGCCACGTCGGACCACTGGCACATGCACCTCGACGCCGCAACCATCATCTTCCAACAGATCCTCCCCCTACCAGATCGCTGGGACCCGACAATGAACACCATGGTCATCCCCCTCCTCCAAGGCGTCCACTTCCCCCCGGGCTCCCACAAGCCATGGTCCTCCGACCAAGCCGCCCTCCGCTTCTTCACCGCGTCCCTCCTCTATTTTGACATCATCTCCGCCACCGCCCTCGAGCGCCCGCCTCGCCTCCAGCGCTACCACCGCCACCTCCTCTCCCCGCGCAAAGAGGCCTCCAACGCCTGCGCCGAAGTCGAGCCCCGGCTGCGCCTCGAGGAGTATTTTGGCTGCCAATCCTGGGTCCTCCAAATCATTGGCGAGATCGCCTCCCTCGACGCCTGGAAAAAGGAAAATCGCCGCGCGGGCTCCCTCTCCATGACGCACCTGGTCTCCCGCGCCGGATGTCTCGAGCTCGCCCTCCGCGAGGGAATAGCATGCCTCGACAACGCCTGCCCGCAGCTCATGGGCTCCCCCAACTGCGCTGATGAAATGGCCTGCCGCGCGAGCTCTTGCTCCCCCATGGACGCCGACAATGCACCAGCTCCGCCGCCGCACCCTACCCACGTCGACACCACCAAACTCCCGCCCGACCCGCTGACGCTCTACCAATCCCAACAAAATCGCGATGCAACAGACGCAGCCCGCATCCACACCAAAATTTGGGCCTACGCCGCGCTAACCTACCTCTCGACCGTCGTGTCCGGGTGGCAGCCCTCGTGTCCCGAGACAGCCTCCAGCGTGGCCATCACCATCGACCTGCTCAACTCGCTCCACAGCCCCGTCTGCCTGCGCACTGTCGTCTGGCCCTTTTGCGTCATCGGATGCCTGGCGGACCCGTGCCAGGAGCACATGTTCCGCGAAATGGTGAGCAAGATGGGTGCGCTCGAGGTGTTTGGGTCGATTAAAGCTGCGCTGGGCGTCATGGAGAACGTATGGGCAAAGCGGGAGACTATCGACGAGAGTTGGGATATTACAGCCTGCTTCAAGGTGCTGGGGCACGCTGTGCTCTTGACTTGAGAGGCCTAGATGTTCTTCAACCTTGAAACTCTTGGTTTGGTTTACAATTCTGCTGGAACGGTGCGCGCTTTTTGGATATCAGTGATTG